TTTATATTATATGCTCTTGTTCCGATTATTAGACTAACATTACTATGTGTTGCACACAAGTATAGACTAATTTGCAAAAGTTGGAACACTTTTAGCTTGTTTGGTTTGTTTTTCAAAAAAATTTTTGGGAAAAATTCTCTACAAACAAATTTTCAAGAGTAATCAAACCATACAAATTTTTTCAAAAAAAAATCTCAAAATTTTTGTTCGGTTACCTACTTTCCAAAATCACTCACTCTCATACACATCAAATCAATCACTTTTTTTAAACCTCTTTCCCCAAAACAATTTTCTAAAACCATTTCTAAAAAAAGATAAACCAAACAAGTTTTCGTACTTTTTATCTTAAAAATTACTCTACAAACACAAACCAAACATATCCGGAATATGTAATCAAGTCGGCTGGGTGATCAGCTGGAGAAAAGGGTTGGTGGTGGTTTACTTTTTAAAAGATTCTGTTTATTCAAAAGTTGTAAAGTTTTGTAACGGACAAACTTTATCCCTCCACAAGTACTATGTATAATTTCACCCAAAAAGTAATCTGCATAATTAAAGCATGAAAGGGCTTTGATTATGACCACTAAAATGGTCAACTTCCCCAAAGTACCCAATTTTTGGTTTCAACATTAAAATGATGGGTTTGAACATTAAAATGATGGTCAACAAGGGTTGGTTCAGTTGGTAAGGCTTGTTCCCTTCGCCCATTTGGCTTAGGTTCGAGTCCCGCTGCCGGCAGTCCTTTGTTGGTGGGCAATATTGCGTAACGCTTTCCCTGACCCTGGAATGGGGTAGCCCCCCCTCCTCCTAAACTTTTTTTGAAAAAAAAAAAAAAAAAAAACATATAAATATCATTATTGTTTTGTTTTTTTGTTTTTTTTGGAATGCGAAAAACCTAAAAGATTACAATTCGGTGGGATCTCTTCTATCTAAATAGATTGCTTGGAAGCTTTAGCAACCATCTGAGTTAAACCATAAACTGTTTGAGGCGAAAATCATATGACACCTCTCAAAAGCTTTTGTAATGGAACAGCAAAGATTCCTCTCTTTGAAGAGCTTTAACAGTGTTTCAAAATAAAACATCATAGATACCCAATTCAAAAGCGAAAATCACTGTTCGCAATGCTGCGAAAGCTTTAGCACAACTCTCCTCCCCCATCAATTAATCTTATATGACAAGGCTGCAAGCACTGCTCCATTGTGATCACAAATAAGTATACCAACCCCAACCGTCTTGAGCCGATTGAACACAACTCCATCAAAATTGACCTTATAAAATCCATTGTTTGGTGCTTTCCAATGAACGTATCATATTTCACATTTGTTGAAAGGTACTAGTTTCTCTCCATGTAAATTGGACTGTCCAATTCAATTTATTAGGTTCGTATGCTTTATTTTTAAATTTCTATGTATAGATTTATGTAAAAAACATTGATCTAACACTGGTAACTAGCTAATTTTATTATATTTGTCTTCAAAATAATGAATAACAAATATAATTTTGACAATAATCATTTATTTATTTTTAATATGAACCCATTACAAAATTATAAAATCTTTGATTTTAAAGACACTTTTGCCCCTTTTTCTCTCTCTTCATTTCTCCATGCTCCCTCATTATTTTTTTTTATTTTTCACTTCTATATCCCCCTCCCCTTCCCTCACCCAGAGTTAGCCATGAGCATGAGGTTGTTGACCTTGTAGCTAAAGTTACTATATTTTGGATTTTTTGTTGCAATAAAAGCTTGTATTCAGAGTTATGAAAATAGACTCTTTAAAAATAAAAATAAGAATCCTCTCGAAAACTCAAACTCTGCTTCTTGTGAATTAATTCATGGATGGGAAAAATTTCAAAAAAACTCGTACAAAATGCAAATATAGAGTTAACAAACAACTAAATTACATGACCTAAACATACATCACAAGATAAGGGAATTAAAAAAAAAAAAAAAAAACTGCAAGATTACATGATAGTACATGCATGAGGATTTTCATCACTAAAAAGCGAAGCAACAACTTCATCTGATACAACTGCAACCGAGTAAACTGCAGGAGTGTGGAAGAAACTATGGATATTGTCCGGAGAGACAATTTTGAATGTGTCATGATAGTAGTGGTTGACAACGTAAGAAGGGTACTTGTAAAATGAAGTGAAATGAGAGTAGCCTCTTGGGTATGGCCATGGCTTGGCTGCTTTGCTTGCACGCTTGATCGATTTGAGCACCTTCTTTTCCTCTATGGCGTAGCCTCTCACCGTTATCTTTTGTGTCTCCATGTCTATTTCTATCTCTTCCACTCCTAAAAAAATATCATATATAGTATTAATTGAATGGGTATTAAAAATAAAGTACACCCACAAAAATTAAATAAAATGAAGAGATGAAAAATCCAATCTTTAGAGAATAAAAATTATATCCTTTTATTCCATCCCCTTGTTCATGTGCAAATGCGATTGCAAAGTTTAGTGTCAGTTAGGAACCATGAGATACATATATATTGTTTTATTAATTATTGCCCAATAAACGTCAGCTAAAATTTAAATAATGTCGAAGTTTTATAATTTTAATATATATTTTACAAATTTTTATATACTTTTTATGAGTTTCGGGCCTCGTTTGGGAACAGACTTTTTTAGTAACTTTTTGATTTTTTGGCTAAAATATGATGTAAAAAAAACTAGTATGTTTGGGATGACTTTTTGACTTTTTACGAAAATATGTGCAAAAAATAGAGAGAAAATGGAATCTTTGACTTTTTGGTATGAGTTATTGACTTTTAAATTTTTTTAGTAACTTTTTGACTTTTTGACTAAAAATGACACATGCCAAACGAGGCCGCAGTATACATTTTACACATGTCCTGATCTTAACTAAAACTCATTAAATAGTGACTAGTATTTTTCCTTTTTGCCTATAACAACTAGGGAACAAACATGGAACTTGAACCAACAATTGGGGTGGGGGTTCTTCTATTTACACACCAAATATTTCAGTACACCCACCTCTTTCTTGTATGCATTCAAAATTATGCCCTCACATAAGTGGGTGTAAACAGAAATATCCTGACGTTTCGGATATCATTAAATGCATCCACAAAATTCCTCTACACACCCACTTTCTCTTATAAGTATAAATTATGTATTACTAGTTATGTAACGAATTGGTTACTATCAATTTGAACTACTAGTTTTGAATAAGTTAAAGGGACATTCAAATGATTAGGATTCGTTTGGGAAGTTGGGTTAATTTTTTGACTTTTTAGTTATTTTAGCTCAGGTTAAAAAGTTCGTTTGGATTATTTTTTTTTGACTTTTTAAAACTTTGGTAAGAGAAAAAATAAAATGATTATGATTTAGATGTCATATTTTATCTTATTGATTAGTTTATTTTGTTTTTTTGTGTCAAATTTAGCCAAAAAGTCAAAAAAAGTCCAATTGTCAAACGAGGGCTTAAATTAATTATAGTTTTTATTTTTAAATATGAAAAAATACTTATAGTAAATAATATTTTCATACGTTAGTCACCTTAAAACTACTATATTTGTGGTGGTGGTGAAAATGATAGTAATGTGTTGACATTGATAAAACTTCTGTTCATAAACGATTTTACCTTTTAAAAATAAAAATTATTTTTTGCCCAAATTAGTTTTTTTTTTTTTTAATTAACTACCAAATGTCAAAAAAATATGAAGAACAAAAAATCAACAGAAATAAATGAAAATTTTATTGAAATTTATATTTTTTTCATTTCACTTTCTAATGCTAACATCTCCATTGGATATTAGTAGATCTAATGTAAGACCCATTGCATTAATAATTGTAAATATGTCACAAGAGAGACTAAAGTTAAATGTGAGATAGAAAAATGATAAGTGTGACTTAATTTATTCTATTATAAACATTCACTGAATCAGTGTAACGAAATCATGTACTTTTCTTTCTTAATAATGCCTGTTTTAATAGCTGTCACATATAATAACTTTAATACTTGATGAATAATTCCTCAAGTATTGTACTTTAATTATCATCAATAAATTTTTTTTACTGATAAAAAAATACTTGATGGATAATTTTTCTAATTCATCAAATTATTCGAAATTACCACTAATGAATTATTCATCAAATTAATTAAAAAGTTGAATATAAAATTACAACACAATGTATTTGCGTCAAACATTAAAATGTTTGTCCATTAAGTTGTTTTCGAGGTGCCCACCAAAAGGAAAATGATTGGTGGCCCTAAAAAATTTGCCCCTAATGCCCCTAATTTCTATTTTTGGAAACTGTTTTCTTTTTTTCTTTCTTTTTTCTTTTTTTTTTTTTTTTTTTTTACCAAAAGTGGAATTTCGGGCATTCGAGCCCCGAAATTTAGGGCCCTCAAGCAGCGCTGCCACCAAAATTGACACTCATGCCAAAAATTGACCATAATATTTTATACAGACGGCTGCATGCATAAAACTCACAAGGAAAAAAGATAAATATTTAATGGTGGTGGTACATTCACCAATTAATATACACATTTGTGTATCAATTATAGTATTGCATCATTATTACTTGACTCTATCTATTATACAAATTATAAATACTTAAAATCTCTAAAACTATACCACATCATCTATTAATATACTAATTGATATATTAATTGATACATATAGCATTACTCAATATTTAACCAACTTATCAACATCAATTCCTCTCATTAAAGTGATCTAAATGCTTTTAGCCCCTTTTGGTAGAATTATGAGAAAGTGATTATAACTTATAATCTAACAGTTTATATTTTATAACTGTGAAAATAAGTTAATTTTTGACTTATGAATTAAGTTTTTTCTCCCCCACTCAAAGAATAAGTTGATTTTTGACTTACAAAAAACTATAAACTGTATTATTAAACTGAACTAAATACATTAAAATAACTTAAATTAAACTAAAAACTGAAATAAATTGAAAATAAACCCACCAAATAGGGTCATTATCATATACATGAGCCTAGGTGTCTGGTGCTTTTGGGAACCATTTGTCTATTTCTCTGCCTTGTCGTGTTGAACAAGAAAAATGTTATCAATTATAAAAATTTATCTCAAATCTTATTTCAAAAATAATGGATTCCGTTCACAATGAATATAGTTTATTGATTATTTTTTGAATTATATGCATTTGTTTCTATCCAGTGCTTTTTTGTCTTTTTCTTTTTCCTGGTGGAGAATTTATTTGCTTTTGGACTTTGGTGACCGACATTCAGACCTTATTTTTTTTAATGGGAAAATGGACAGTGACTTGTTAACAAATAAGTTTTTTTTTTTTTTTTTTTTTTTGCGCAAGTAACAAAACCAGTTATCACATCGTACAAAATTGGAAATTTTTTTTAAAGTGATGAATATTTGTGATATGTTATGTCACTTTATAGTAAGGGGTTGTTTGGGATGTCCTAAATAAGTACACTTTTTGTCTTTTTGGACTAAAAAATTGAGGAAGAAAATATGGATGTTTGGGTTAATTTTTTGACTTTTTATGAAAAAATGTGTAATAAAAAATTGTAAAAATTGATTTATAAGAAAAAATTAAGATTGGGAGTTGTGCAACTGTAATTGTTGACTTTTAATGAATAGTGTTGACTTTTTAACTTTTTGAGTAACTTTTTAAATTTTTAGTTTTTTTACAATATGCCAAACTTGACCTAAAATTATAAATAATCAATTTATAATGTGCATTTCAAAATTATAAATAATATCAATCTAAAAAAAAGTTACAAATAATAAAGTTGTGATATTTTGTAATCAGAAATTATGCGACAAAATTTTGTAAATCCTTTTAGGAGTGCACATAGTCTCCCTCTATTATGAAAGGGCACATCCTTTTGAGTTGATCTTGATATTCCTATATTGCAGTTAAAAATGTACTAAAATAGAAAATACCTAACCAGAAAAGGAAAAAAAATAAAATAAAATAAAATAAAAAGAGTTCCAGAATATTCCCTTGAAGATTAAAAAAGGACGGCAACTATTTTGTTCAATTTTATTTATTTACTTTTAAAATTTCCTCTCAAACTATTTTAACGCAATGGTGTTGTTAATATATAATATATACATTATCGACAATGCTATGTAACTTAAATTTTGTGGCTTAAAAGTAGCTCAAATGGTCAAAACGACGTCGTTTTGAGTACAGAATAACATAAAAATGGTCAAAACGACGTCGTTTTGGCCATTTAAGCCACAAAATTTGAGTTACGAGACATTTTCCATACATTATATATTATATAAAAAGAGAAACCAGCCGAAAGCGAAAGCAATGGAAAGAAGAATAAAAATCCTATGCTGTCCTATAATCCTATAGCTAGCTGTATTAATATATTATACATTAATATATAATATATACATTATGCATTAACAGGTGCCATAGGAGAAAGAAAAGTAATGATATATAAATGAACAACAATGATTCATCCCCTTTTTCTTCTCATTCCCTTTGACCCCCTCTCTCTCATGGGTTACATTTTCTTTTTTTTTTCTTTTTTTTCCTGTTCTTCCAATCACCACCCGCCACGTGACAAAAGAGGGTGAGGGGGTGAACTCCAAAAGGGAGTCCCAAGCATTATTCATAAATGAAAAATTTATACAAAATGATAAAGTTCAAATTAAAATTTTTATTTTAAAATGAAACCCTTATAATGATGAGTTTATTTACAAGAATGACAACTATCACGTTACTTTTGTGAAATTTTTTATATAATTTTTTTTTTCTTTCTATGAATAGAGTTTTCCGATCAAGAAAGGCCTGAATAGTAAAGTACATGGAATTTAGTGCTTTTTATTTTTTGTCATCCTCTTTCTTTTCTTCTTTTTTCTCTTCTTTCTTTTCCTCTTTCTTCTCTTCTTTCTTCTCTTCTTTGGCTGGACCAACTGATATGATATCAACCTTCCCAACTTTCTTCATCTTTTTCACCACTGCCACTGTGTCCATCTCTCCGATCACCGTTAGCTTCTGCTCCTTCAGATCCGCCGCTATCGAATCTACTCCTGTTGTTCAAAAAATTCAATACCCATACCCATCACAATAAGAAACAAATCAACATCAATTATACCTAATTAACCATCAACTCATCTATGGTTTTGTTGTATGTGTATATGAAAGAGATGACGAATCAATAACGGTCGCAGTGTAACGGTATCACTATCGAGCAATACATTTTCACTGTATTTGATTGGGAGATTTAGAAACGATTTGAAAATTTTTTTTAAAAAAATGTATAAAAACTGTGTAAAATATATTTTACTGATTTTTTCTATTTCTCTTTCTAAATCTTTTTCTAAATTCCCTCATCAAACGCTGTCTTTGTGAATCGAGTGACACAGTTGTGAATTTAAAATTGTTAAAAAAGAGTTTTTATAGCAGTCAAATCAGCTCTATTGACAGTATGCGATTTTCAATCCCACTAATATACGGGGTGTGTTGGTATCAAAAGATCAAAATCCGATGGTTATAAGACCCCATAGAAGAAATAATTAAAAAAATCATCGAATTAAACAAAAGGAAAAATTCATATCACGAGTACCGAAGATATCAGCAGCGGCTTCTATAGCTTTCTTCTTTGTCTTCTCATCGGTCATGGTCATCACCTTCAACACCAGCTTCTGCAATACAATTTGAATTCGAAATAGAAAAAGTAAATAAATAAAAATGAGGGGGAAAATATAGAAAATTGGTTCTCGACATCATATATAGTTATGTAAATAACAATCATGAAAAAAACTTACCTGAGCCATTTGAAGATGCAGGATTGTAGTTGTATGGAAGATAAGATACAGTGAAATTTTACCCTTTGGACACGAATGAAGATGCTTCTGGGGTTTTTGTAAGCGTGAGATGTGAGACCTTGGTTTGGTTAGGCAGCATCTAGTGTATATATAGTCAATTATTTTATTCTATTTGGAAATAAATTACGCATAGCTTCTAATAATTCTTAATTTTCATCCAGTGTAATTAAAAATAAGTTCTTATAAAATTATTACGAAAAATAATTTGTTGATGATTTTTTATATATGTTGTTAAAAATTGATAATCAATGACTTTTTTGTCATGATTTTTATAAATTATCACTAAAACTTATAATTAGTGAATTTTTGTAATGAATTTTTCAAATTGTCTCTTAAAGTTAAAAATTAGGTATATTTTTTCTAATTATTTTTTTAAACTGTCACTAAAATTTATAATTAATGAAATTATTTGTGACAAAATTTTTAACTTATCACAGAAAATTAGTAATTAGTTACTTTTTTAATAATATTTGATAAAAAACGTTATTAATTATCCTATAACCTATTAAATAATAAATCCACCTATTATGATCTCCATATAACTATCTTTTATTATTTACACGCACAAAATTCAATTACAATCATTTTATAAAATGTGAAATTTATTAATGAGACTCATTAAATGTGCGTCCCACCCAAGTGAAAATATTTTGACTTTGTTTGGTTTGTTTTTCAAAAAAAAATTTGAAAAAAATTCTTTATAAATAAATTTTCAAGAGTAGTCAAACCAAACAAATTTTTTCAAAAAAAATCTCAAAATTTTGTTTGGTTACCTACTCTCCAAAACCACTCTCTCTCTTATACACATCAAATCAATCACTTTTTTTAAAATTCTCTCTCCAAAATAATTTTTCAAAATCATTTCTGAAAAAAGGCAAATCAAACAAGTTTTCGTACTTTTTATCTCAAAAACTACTCTACAAATACAAACCAAACATAGGGACAATTATATTAAAAAAAAACCCTCAAGATTTGAGTCTTATAAGAAAATAAATTTTTAATTTTATTAATTTAAATCTTAATCTTTTTATTTGTTTTTAATTTAAATCATTTGTTTATTTATATCAAGTAAAATTGATGAGAAAATACTTATTTAGATTGAAAATAAATTTAAAATTTAAAGATAAAATTAAAAATGTATTTTCTTTTATGGTTCAAACTTTTAAATTTGTTTTTGTAATTTCTCCTAGAGTATAAAAATGATACAGGGCTATTTTGGGAACTTGGCTAAAAGCCACTTTTTTTGGTTAGTAGCAAAAGCCAAAAGTTGGCTTTTTTGGCTTTTTTTTTCATTTGGCAAGTTGGTTTTTAGCCAACGGTGAAATTACAATTTTACCCCTCATGGGTCACAATGTGTTACATAGGTTCAGTTGCAAATATTTTAAATAAATGGGGGTAGTTTAGTCATTTTATTATGATTTGACATCATAAACAAATATTAATCAAAAAAGTCAAAAGTCACTTTTTAACAACTTCCCAAATCATTTGTCTAAAAAAGCCAAAAGCTTGGTTAAAAGTCAAAAAGTCACTTTTTACCATCTTCCCAAAACAACCCACAGTACAGCATGATGAAACCTACCAGGGCCTTGGGCCCTTTTGGTAGGGCTCATAGTCCCATTTGGTAGAACAATGGAAAAGTTATTATATATTATAACTTAACAGATTATGGCTTATAGCTGTTAATATAAACGGTTAACATGTTTGGTGCAGCTATGTGATTATGGTTTTAAGCAGCTGAGCTGTAAAATAACTTTTTATTGTATAATTGTCCTTTTTGCCCTTATATGATATAAAAATGATTATTTTGTCATTTTTTCAGTTTTAATTTAAAAAAATTATCTCATTAATAAAGTTAATATAATTAGTATTACAAACATTATCATTTCATTAATAGTATCAACTAGTATAAAATTAATGGCTTAATTAGCATCAATTAATACTAAAATTATTAATACTATGAATTAGTATAAAATTATTTCATTATTTCATTATAAATTAATTAGTGTCAATTAATGGCTTAATTAGCATCATTACTTTTTTTATTGAATTTATTAATTCATTACAATTAATATCAATTAATATCCATGTATTTATAATAATGTTGTGATGTCATTACATACTATTTTATTTCAATTAATTCTGTTTAATTCTGTATTAATTCTGTGTAATGTTATAATATCAATTTAAATGAATTCTGTTTTTATTAAATTTTTTTCATTACAATTTTTTTTTGAAATAAATTGTTTTTCATTTTATTTTGAAAAGTAAATATTAATTCTGAAAAGTAATTTTTTTAATTATGAAAAGTCAATATTAATTTAAATAAATTGTATTGAATATTAATTCTGAAAAATAATTTTTTTAATTTTTTCATATTAAATTAATTATGTTTTTAATTTTTTTTAAATTTTTTTTTCTAGGGTTTCAACGCCATCGGCGAATAGTCACCAAAGGCTAGGGTTTCAATGCAAATCAACACAGATCGCGATCGCAACCGTGACGACGACGACGACGACGACGACAAACAACGCAGATCGAGAGAAAGAGAGAGAGAGAGAGAGAGGGGGGATGGCGGTTGTTAGGGTTTCAGATCGTAATCGCAATCACAAAGAGAGAGAGAGAGCACGGAACAGATCGTGATCGCGATGGCGCTGGTTAGGTTTCAGGTCGCAATCGCGATGGCAGTGGTGACGGGAGGTTTGTAAGAGAGAGAGAAAAGATAGTTGTTCGTCAGAAAGAGCTCTGGTTTCTTCATCGGCAACCCTCATCGTCAGATCGAGAGAGAGAGAGAGAGAGAGCTCACCGGAAATCGCTATCGGAAAAAGCCTTTCAAGTTTTTGTCTCTTAAAGAAATGAACAGTGATTGAGATCGAGGGTTTATATATTGGTGTTTTGGTAATACTGGAAGTTGATGAGGGGCATTTAAGTAATTTTACCCCTTCCTTCCCAGCTTGCCGTTTAAGTTGATTTAGAAAAGCACCCCCATAGCCACTTCAAGAAAAAGTTAATTTTTGACTTAGAAAAAGTTAATTTTTTACTTATAAAAAGTTATAATCTGTATTCTTAAGCTACACCAAACACAACAAAATAGCTTAAATTAAGGGGTTGCTTGGGGTGTCCTAAATAAGTGCACTTTTTGTCTTTTGGGACTAAAAAGTTGAGGAAAAAAATATGGATGTTTGGATTAACTTTTTTGACTTTTTTTGAAAAAATGTGTATTAAAAAATTGTATAAAGAAGTGTGTAGGAGAAGATTGTGTAGGAGGCCGTATGGATTGGCAATGGAGTGGGCTGGTGGAGCAGATGAGAAATTATTGTCTCCTTTTCGGACTTTGATTGGATGGTGTTGTTTGGTGCATAGGGGCCCACCACGGGTCCCGTTTTTCTAATCAGAACTGTTCAATATATAGAACTCGTCGAGTACTATATGTTTGTCATGTTATAACAGATCATGAAAGTGACATTTCAGATCACTTTTCTACTTTCTCTCTCTCTAGAAGTCTCAAAAATCCAGATCTAGAGCCTCTCTCTCTAGAAATCACCTTCTCTCTTTGATTTTTCCAAATCTATTGGGATTTTGGCCATAGTTCCTTCGTCAAAATTGTGTAACTTCTTGAGGGCTTCATTGTGTGTGGTAGAGATCGAGTTTCATCGTCATTGATTTTGGGAGTTTTAACTCTTTTTTTCTTCTAAGCTTGAGATATGTATTTTCTACACACTAATATGGTTTTTAGCTTAGTTATTTACTATTATGTATAGATGATGAGATTTGGTTATGGTTTGGACAAATCTAAGATTTGGGTGTGAAATGAAAAGAGGGGTTTTTGATGTATAAGAGATAAATGAGTATGGGGTTTGAATATAAGATCTTGGTGTACCAAAATAGTTGATTTTGGGTGTTTGGGTCAATATTGGAAAAAGGAGGATTTTTGCCCTAATTTGATAAAATGATTATTTTGTATAAATAATTGGAATTAACATTGAATTTGTTAAATTGAATGGTTATTGATATAGATGGTGATATTGGATATGTATTATCTCACCTATGGAAGTTTTGAATAAACTATTTATTTCGATATTGAACATCTCTTGAAAATAAATGTATTGGGCTATTGGTGGAGGATAGTCATGGTTGTTGTAGAAATTGTATGAGGATTAGGCGATTTAATGTTAATCTATTGTTGGTAGTCATTGAATATGACCGTGCTATAAATACATTATATATGTATGTTTATTGGGAGAAGAAATGGGATGTACTCCATAGGTAATTATGTTTATAAATACATTGCATATGTATATTTGTTTGGGAGGTGAAAGGGGATGGACTCCATTTAAAGCAAGTTGGCTAGAGTGTCCTAGGTGAAAAACCCAAAATTTTATATATAAATGGATGCCAGTTCCTTCGGACGAAATATCTGTAAAATGGCAAGTTTGAAGTGTTTATGTGTGTTTTGCATAATTGGGAGAACCATTAAGTTGTAGTCTCATTTTGGTTGTTGAAAGATAATGAACTTAACTCATGAATTAAGTAGCATAAATAAACTAAAAAGGAATAGAAAGGAAAATGGAATAAGGTTAGGTCCTAGTGGCATATGAATATGCAGGTCTTGTGGATGTTTTAGTATTGGTATTATTTATGCATGTAGTATTTATATCTTTGCTAAACCTCATATATTGTGTTAGATTATCTTTACTGGGATGTTGGCTCACCCTATACGGGAATATCATTTTCAGGTGTAGGTGAAATGTTTCCTCCAAGGCAATAGCGTGGGTGGACTTTCGGGAAGCAAGAGCTTCTTAATTATGTCCTATGTTTGTATGTTTGTTATTTGTAAGGCCAAGGGCTTAAGATATAATGAGCGAGACTCAATTTGTGTAACCAAGTAATGACTTGGAAAGATGTAAGCCTACATGGCATTTTACTGGTTGTTAAACAGTGAACTCTGATATATGAAAGTATGTTATTTCTCATATTTATTCCGCATATGAGTTATCTTATTGTATTATTTTGGGGGCAT